TTTTCAGTGCTTGAGGCCTCTACATGTCTGGATCCAGATCTGCATGTGAGAGACAGACAGACAGACAGACAGACAGACAGCAAAGCTCTTCTCTTTCAGGACTCTGGAAATGATCCCCAAAGGAACCTAAGGCCACCATTTGGGCTTAATGTGGGTTGGGGCTATTTTTAAAGTGGGGGTGGTAGGTGGCCTTTTTTTAATATTTCTGAACTGCAGTTCCCATAATCTCTGACCATTGCACATGCTGGCTGGGGCTGAAAGGTGTTGTGATCCCACTCCTCTTTTAATGGCTAAGACAGTTATTATCTTGGGGTTTCAGTATCTAACCTGTTACTCAGCATTTAACCCTTCCATTTGTGATACTTTGCTTCCAATTTTTATTTCATTTATTTGCCAAAGGTGGGATTGGATCGCACCCTTAATCATGTGCTCAACCTGTGTAAAAATTCTGAAGGCAAATACTTCCTCCATTGGCACGCAAGCTTTCTGTCACTATGCTCCTAGTTATGGATCCCCTCTTAAAACACACACACCCATCCTAAAATTAATTTGAATAGCAACCAATATCCCATTAAGTGTGCAAAGCCACATTTTTATTCTTCTTCTAGGTTTGTTCATGCACTCTGTTGCAATCTGACCATGTGCATCTGTTTGTGCCAGAGAGGGAGGTAGCTCTGAGGATGAATATTTGTTCTTCCTTTGACTGTGTTTTCACTGGGTCACTTCAGATCAGGAGCATCCATCAGCTCTTCCACACCATGGACCCATGATGTTTTCATATGTAGCACTCAGCGGCGTAGCGTGGGTTGTCAGCACCTGGGGCAAGGCAAGTAATTTGCGCCCCCTAACCCGTAGCAAGGCAAGTAATTTGCGCCCCCTAACCCCTAACCTGCCACCGCTGCCAGCTTCTTCTTGCTGCTGCCTGGTCTGGTCTGGTGTGGTTCTCTCCCGCGTTCAGTGCTGCGCTGGGTGGCCGCTGCACTGTCCCTCCCCCAGATAGTCCCTCGCTCTCTCTCCGCACCGCACGCCTGGCACCCACCCCCTCCACAGTGGGCGGCGACCCAGTGGCTCGGATCGGATTCACACAGCCAGCACTGCAGTGAGAGAGAGTGAGTGAGCCAGGTAGGGGCAGAGAGCTGCGAGTGCGAGCGCCCCCCCCCCGATGTTGCGCCCGGTGCGGCCGGGCCCCCCTGCACCCCCCACGCTACGCCACTGGTAGCACTCATGTGATAAAATGGAGGGGATGTAAAAATTCAGTTTCTAGTCCTCATGGTATATGCAAAATATATTTAGAATACGGGCCTCTGCATTGGGGGTTATATATCCTCGTCCCACAAGCTCCATGGCACCAGAGCAAAGGCTCATCAAGTCAAGCATGCTTCTCCCAGAGACCAATGAGAATCCCATGGGAAGCCCACAAGTAGCACATGACTGCAATAACACTCTCCTGCTCATGGTTCCCAGCAGTCGGAGCATCCTCTCTCTGATCCCGGATTTAATATATAACAATCATGTAGCTGTTGGTGGCCATGAATTTGTTTAATTCCCCCTTTAAAGCTATCCAGGCTCGTGGCCACCAGTACAGCTTGCAATTCCCTCCTTTAACTATGGCATAGGACAACGTATTTTCAGTCTCTCAACATTTATCTACATTGGATGACCCAAGGACATAGTAACATGATGGCCCAGCCACTTGTTCATGCCATGCCCAATTTTACACACCTCTTTCATGCACCCCTTACTCATCTTTTCTCTAAGCTGCAAAGCCCCAGATGTTTCTCCATCCCTTTGATGATTTCGGTGGCCCTTTCCCAGCTCCATTATATCCTTGTTGAGGTGTGGCAACCAGAACGGCAGTATTCCCAGTGTGGCCGCACTGTAGACTTGTGACAATATTGGCATATGATCTTCTTGATCCCTTTCCTAATGGGGCCCGACGTGGAATTTGCCTAACCCTTGCCAGCTCTGCAGGCTCCCTTCTATTCACACTGAAGGAACCAGCACTTGTGGAAAGTCCAAAGCTCTATGCTGGAGTATGTTCAATGGTCCAATGTTCCACATCTCATTTCTTGGATTAAAATAGATCTCGGGGGGGCTGGACTAGAAAAAAAGCTTTCCCAAGATCCCGGAGAGCTACTGCCAGTCAGAACCAAGGTAGATAAGACTAGTGGTCTAATCTAATATAAGAGCTCCCATTTATTTATTAATGAATGAATGAATGAATGATATGTTTTACTTCCAGAGTTGTCAAAGTGTGCAGTGCGACTCCATGTATGATCTGCTGCTGCCAGTGGCCAGAAGATGGTCAATTCATCCTAAAAGTGCCCTTGTATGGAAGGGCCATAGCTCAGTGGTGGGACATCTGCTTTGGACACAGGAGGTCCCAGATTCAGGCCACAGCATCTCCAGGCAGAACTGGGGATGTTCACTGTCTGAAACCCTAGACTGAACTGAGCTTGATGAACTGTTGACCTTACTTGGTACAAGGCACCTACCTTCCCATGCAACTTCCCTCTGTGTTTGAGACTCTGAGCAGAACCATTTTGCAGCTGCTGAAATAAGGAGCTTCATAGTTCCTGGGCTTTGGGTCACTGCCTGGGGCAAGCAGGCAGACAGGTCTTGTTAACTCCCTCTTGCTGTTCTTCCCCTGCCCCTATCTGGATGGAGCAGCTGTCAAACCCTAAGCTCACTGGTGAGCGAGACTGAAAGCAGGCAAGAGTATGGAGGTAAGGAGAAGAAAAGGGCAGCACTCCTGCTGAAAGTTATTTTAGCATGCTTTTCCCTCAGTTATTCAGTGCAGCAATGGGAGACACATCTCTGTGCGCAATGCTCTCTGCTTACTCATCGGTTAGGCAGATGAATGGTGGGTCAGCAGGGAAGCAAATGTAGAAAAAGTTTAGAAGTGGGGGGTCCATTTAAGCACACTTGCAAAACATTATCTGTAGTGGAAGATAAGTGCCATCAAAATAGATGGGATTTGTGTCTGCTTAATGGGCTTATCATGGGAGCACATGAGATCCCTTGCGCCTGCATGATAAACCCATTAAGCAAAAGTAAATCCCATTTCAAACTTGTTAAGTGCACAATTTGCTTAGTACACATACTAAACAACACACTTCCTATATTGTTGCTTCCTGGCCTCTGAAGGAAATTGGCATAGCAAAAAGATGCTATGCCGTTAATGAACAAAACGCTTAACATCAAAATCAGGGTCTCTGCCCCAATAAGCTTACAATCTAAAATTCAGACCAGGAGAGACAAGAGAGGATGGATGCAAGAAGAAACAGAGTCAGAATACAGAGTCACACGCACTTAGGTTTAGCTATCAGTGGTGCTGTCAGGGTAGGACTTTGGGGCCAAAGACCAGGGCCCCCAACTCAGTGGATCAGGCAGGATAATACCTAAGCACAGTAGAACTGGCTGGCTTGCCAACTTTTGAAATGAGAGAACCAACACACATTGCCACCCAGAGAAGAGTTGGAAGACCATTAAGCCCAGAGCCCAAACTGTGACAGTGGAAATGGTGTGATTAGCTAAGGAGCGTAGGAAGAGGAGTTTTTGCAGAGGTCCAGCGGTAAGGCATCGCAGGCCCAGGGGGTGAATGTAACCTTCCATACCTCTCTGTCTGGCCCGCTGGACTCTCCCCAGGCACCACCCCTTCACTAGCCCTTCACTTTGCCCCCCCCCAGGTGGTTTTGCCTGGCTGGAAAGTGTCCTTTAACTCTGATGATGCCTCTTGCCTGCCTTGGATGGAGGATACAGAGCGACATGTGTAGAAACTAGTCTCCTGGGCAATGGAGCCTCCAGGGCTGTGTATAGAATCATAGAATTGTAGAGTTGGAAGGGACCACTAGGGTCATCTGGTCCAACCCCTTGCAATGCAGGGATCTTTTTGCCCAATGTGGGGCTCGAATCCACAACCCTGAGATTAAAAGCCTCATGCTTATAGAGATGGGGATGAAGAAGATTCCCCAGTTCTGGTATGGGGATGGAGTGGGATTTTTTAAAAAAGGTAAAGGACCCCTGACAGTTGAGTCCAGTCGCGAATAACTCTGGGGTTGCGGTGCTCATCTCGCTTTACTGGCCGAGGGAGCCAACATTTGTCCACAGACAGTTTTTCCAGGTCAAGTGGCCACCATGACTAAGCCACTTCTGGCGAAACCAGAGCAGCGCACAGAAATGCCGTTTACCTTCCCACCGGAGCGGTACCTATTTATCTACTTGCACTTTTTGGCATGCTTTCGAATTGCTAGGTTGGCAGGAGCTGGGACCAAACAACGGGAGCTCACCCCATCGCTGGGAATCGAACCGCCGAACTTTCGATTGGCAAGCCCAAGAGGCTCAGTGGTTTAGACCACAGCGCCACCCACGTCCCTTTGAGTGGGATAGGCAAGTCCATATTAAATAAACACATAATATAAAAGGTGACTGCCAAGATTTGAAGGGAGAGGGAGAGAAACTGCCTGAAGAATGAATATTTTCTGAACCTGGCAGGGAAGGCAATGAATAAACTGGTGCCACCTGCTGCCAACCCACCCAGACCAAAACGTAATGGTGCTCCACATCCCAGTGAAATCTACGTAGCAAATCCAGCAGCAGCAGTTGCTACCATTAGCCGCTCCAGCTAGATAGATGCCATTTGAAGCAGCGCCTCATCCCATTCCCATAATATTCCCAAGGGAGCGCCTCGGTTGCAGAATTTGCACGAAGACACACAGGACACCTGTTTGCAACACTGTTTGTTAACTAAAAGGAAACGCTGTTGCATGCGCCCCCGCTGAGCTCAAGCATTTCAAGCCTGGGAAAGTGTTTTTGTAAGCCCCACTAACAATGTAACACAGAACTTCTGGGGAAGAAACCTTCATTTTTATTATATGTGCATTGAATACTAGCCACTATAGGACTGGGAACGGGTGTTTAGCTTGGGTGTTGTTTGGAGCAGAATCCCTTTTTTATGCAACTTACCTGCCAAAGCGTTAAAGCGGGACATTTACACTTTTTTAAAAGAAAAAAACACCGAGGAACCGACAGCGAGCCCAGGGCCTTAAAGGGCCAGCAGCGGCAGTCGCCTTCCCACCCCGGTGCGAAAGCCGCTCCACCTTAAGCGAGCCTGCTGGGTCGGGGTCCCCGTTCCCCGCCCGGAGCCCTCGTGATAGGTAGCTGGGACAGGCGAGGCGGGGCCTGGCATCCTCCTCTATAAATATCCCTGAGAGCGCGGCCACCGGATTGGCGCTGCTGGAGCTGGAGCGAGCGAGAAGTTGTGCCAAAGGGACTGGCGGAGCTGCTGCCGCCGCCGCCACTGCCGCTCCGCGAGCCTCTCTCTCTTTCTCAGGTGGCAGCGCTTCTTCGGGAGCGAGCGAGCGAGCGCTGCAAGTCTCCCGCAGCTGCTCAGGGATCGGGAAGGCGACTCGCTGGGCGCAGGGGGACCGGCGATCTCCCGGGAAGCGCGGAGAGCGCGCTGAACGCCGCCGCAGCTTTCGGGGCTCCTCAGCCATCTTGACACTGCACGGCTGGGGGAAAGTTGCGGGAAGCGAGCAGCAGCAGCCGAGCCAGTCCTTGCGACAAAGCCGAGCCGGTAAGAGATGAACGCGAGACGGCGGGAAGCGGACTGAGCCGAGAAGGGAAGAAGCAGGAGGCGCCCCAAAGCGGCGGGGGATCCCCCGAGCCGCCGCTTCTGCCGGGCCAGAGGGCGCACTTGCTTCGCGGGAAGGAGGCGGCGAGGCGAGCTGGAGCTTGGAGAGGTGGCGCCCGGAGCAGCGGCGGCGGAGGAGATCGGCTTGGCAGCGGCAGCAGCAGCAGCAGGAGGACCGGCGTGGCTGGCTCGTTCGGCGCCCGAGGAGTCTGCCTGGACGCGCTGCCGCCACCGCCGCCGCTCCGGGCCGAGCATGGAGCGCAGTTACCTGTTGGCCGTGGCTTTCCTCCCGCTCTTGCTGCCGGCTTGGTCGCCGGGGCTGCCGCGCTCTAGCTGCGCCGCTTCTGCTGCCGCGGCGGCAGCCGCCGCCGCAGCCGCCTCGTCGTCGTCCTCTTCGGCGTCTTCTTCGTCCGCGTCGGCGTCGTCGGCCAAGGAGCTGTCTTGCCAGGAGATCACGGTGCCCCTGTGCAAAGGCATCGGCTACAACTACACGTACATGCCCAACCAGTTCAACCACGACACGCAGGACGAGGCGGGGCTGGAGGTGCACCAGTTCTGGCCCCTGGTGGAGATCCAGTGCTCGGCGGACCTGCGCTTCTTCCTGTGCAGCATGTACACGCCCATCTGCCTGGACGACTACAAGAAGCCGCTGCCGCCGTGCCGCAGCGTGTGCGAGCGGGCCAAGGCCGGCTGCGCGCCCCTCATGCGCCAGTACGGCTTCGCCTGGCCCGACCGCATGCGCTGCGACCGCCTGCCCGAGCAGGGCAACCAGGACACGCTCTGCATGGACTACAACCGCACCGAGCTCGCCACCGCCGCGCCGCCGCCCCCGCAGCCCAAGCCGCCGCACCGCAAGCCTGCCGGCGGCGGCGCCAGGATCCCCGGCGCGGCCGTCCCTCCTCCTCCGCCGCCGCCCGCCGAGCCGCCCCTGCGCAAGGCCCGGCCTCCGGCGCCCTGCGAGCCGGGCTGCCAGTGCCGCGCGCCCATGGTCTCCGTGTCCAGCGAGCGCCACCCGCTCTACAACCGCGTCAAGACCGGCCAGATCGCCAACTGCGCGCTGCCCTGCCACAACCCCTATTTCAGCCCCGACGAGCGCGCCTTCACCGCCTTCTGGATCGGCTTGTGGTCCATCCTGTGCTTCATCTCCACTTTCGCCACCGTCTCCACCTTCCTCATCGACATGGAGCGCTTCAAGTACCCCGAGCGGCCCATCATCTTCCTGGCCGCCTGCTACCTCTTCGTCTCCTTGGGCTACCTGGTGCGCCTCGTCGCCGGCCACGAGAAAGTGGCTTGCAGCGGCGGCGCGGCGGCGGGTGCAGTGCCGGCGGGTGCCGGAGGGGGCGCTGCAGGAGCAGCCGCGGCAGTCGGAGGGCGCGGGGCGGCAGGGGGCGCTGCGGAGCTGCAGCCGGAACTAGCCGTGGCGGAGCACGTGCGCTATGAGAGCACTGGCCCTGCCCTGTGCACAGTGGTCTTCCTGCTGGTGTACTTCTTTGGCATGGCCAGCTCCATCTGGTGGGTCATCCTGTCGCTCACCTGGTTCCTGGCGGCTGGCATGAAGTGGGGCAACGAAGCCATAGCGGGCTATGCGCAGTACTTCCACCTGGCCGCCTGGCTGCTGCCCAGCGTCAAGTCCATTGCCGTGCTGGCTCTCAGCTCGGTGGACGGGGACCCCGTGGCTGGCATCTGCTACGTGGGCAACCAGAGCCTGGAGAACTTGCGGGGCTTTGTGCTGGCCCCCTTGCTGATATACCTGGCCATTGGCTCCATGTTCCTGCTGGCGGGCTTCGTCTCGCTCTTCCGCATCCGCAGCGTCATCAAGCAGCAAGGGGGCCCCACCAAGACGCACAAGCTGGAGAAGCTCATGATCCGCTTGGGCCTCTTCACCGTCCTCTACACGGTCCCGGCCGCCAGCGTGGTGGCCTGCCTCTTCTACGAGCAGCACAACCGCCCCCGCTGGGAGGCCACGCACAACTGCCCTTGCCTGCGGGACCAGCAGCCCGACCAGGCGCGCCGGCCGGACTACGCGGTCTTTATGCTCAAGTACTTCATGTGCCTCGTGGTTGGCATCACGTCCGGAGTGTGGGTCTGGTCCGGGAAGACTCTGGAGTCCTGGAAGGCGCTCTGCACCCGTTGCTGCTGGGCCAGCAAGGGGACCGCCGCCGCAGTGGCGGCAGGGAGCATTGGAGCGGTTGGCGGTGGCGGAGGGAGCATGGTGACTGCCGCTGCGGTGGGGGGACTGGGGGGCGGAGCGGGGTCCATGTACAGCGACGTCAGCACCGGCTTAACGTGGAGGTCTGGCACCGCCAGCTCAGTCTCATATCCAAAACAGATGCCCTTGTCCCAGGTGTAAAAGATGGAGTTCTTGGGGACAGGTGGGGAGAGGGTGCAGCTGACTATATTCCCTGCCTCCCCTTCATTCCCAAGCTTCCCAGTGGCCTCTCCAGGTGCAGGACGAATACAGCTGCTGGAGGCTGTCAAGTGCCAGGCCAGCTCCTCCTCAGCCTTGTCTAGAGTCACGTGCTCCATACTTCAAGGCACCGGGCTCCCAAAGCAAAGGACTGTCCTTGGACTGGCGGGAGTCCTCTTGGTTGTTGGATGGGGTTCCCCCTGCTTTGCTTTTTCTCCTCCTTTCAAACTCAAAAGGTGACATCAAAGCAGCAGGTGTCTATGATAGGACTGCAGGGTTTGGGAAACTTTCTTTTTAAAAAACAAAAACAAAATGACTTTCTTTTTTAAAAAACAAAATCAAATGAACAAACTGGCAGATGCCTTAAACACATTCAAGTTGTGTCTTAATTATACACCCCAAATAAATACGGGTTTCCTATGTTAAAAGATGTATTTATATAATTATTTGGTACCTTGTACAAAATGTGTAAGATATGTATATAACCCAAATGCTTTACAGTCTGTAAATTTTTTTTGTAAAAAGAAAAAAGTTTAGAGGCTTACCACCAACTGCTCCCTCTTAAGAGCAAATATTTGAGTATTCTATTTTGTCAATAAAATAATGATAAATGATCTGTTTGGGAGGGGAAACATCCCCCTATCAATGCCCTGATTATTCCTGTGGGTTGACTCTGGAGTAAGTGTGAAATTTTGCATATCATCTAAGAGCAGAGTTGACTAGGAAAAAATCATGGGAGGCTTAAAGGGATCTAGGGTTTGCGCCTTCAAGATTTAAATAGGCTTGTCTAAGTCAGGGTTGGAGAATCAGTGGCAGTCCAGATGTTGCTGTCCAACTCCCATCAGCCCCAGCCAGCCTGCTCAGGGATGATGGGAACTGGAGTCCAGCAACATCTGAAGTGTCACCGATTCCCCCTCCTGTGTGTTACTAGTGTTCCTCTCAGAAAGGTATGGGAAACCTTTGGTCCTTTAGCTGTTAATGAACTACAACTCCCATCAGCCCCAGCAAGCATGCCAATGGCCAGCGTTGATGGGGGATGTAGTTCAGCAACTTCTGCTGGGCCAAAGGTTTCCCACAGACAAGGATAGGGAGCCTATGGTTTCTCCATATGCTGTTGGACTACATCTCCCATCATCCCTGACCACTGGCAATGCTGACTGGGGCTCATGGGAGTTGTAATTCAGCAACCTCTGGAGGACCCATGTTCCCTCTCCCTTAAGATTCATTGCCAACTCTGGAGCTGAGTATGATTTGACAACAGGGAGCAGCCTTGTTAACTCAAAAGTGTACATGGGTTCCCAATCTACAAGCAGTTTGCTTTCAAATAGTGCCATCTGAAATCTAAGGCAGGCTGGGAGGGGCAGCTGAGGTATTTCGCCTCAGAGCTTTGCTTTTTAAACAGCAGAAAATCCTCAGGGTGGATGCAAAACTCCATACTCACTATGGTGAGAAAAGAAGAGAAAAGGAACCATTCCAGAGTGGTAATCCAAACTGCTTCCTCCCAGAGACTTTTCAGGTCTCCTTTAGAGCAGATGTACTGGAGACCCGAGACCTTCCTTGTGGGCCATCATTTCTCTTGCAGCCGTTTGCTGCCCTGTCACAAGGAATATAAACAAGGGCCGGGTATTCGTCTCTCTTGGCTGCTTTGTTTTGACTTCTGCCCAATGAATGTTGCTTTAGGAATGCGAGAGACCTGCATGCTCCATTTTGCCTGTTTTTGTCCATGCTTGTTGGGGTGATCAGCACCTGCCCCTTCTGCAGGCTGAGGCAGAATTGCTAAAGCTGGTTTAGGGAAGAAAAGTAAGCTGAGAATTGTCAGAAGCATTTTTTTTAAAAAAATTTTTAGTGGGGGGAAAGCACTTAGGGATAGATATCTCCCTCCTGGGAGATGGAGACTGTCCTTGTCAAGGCTAAAGCTAATTGATTGAGGTAAGAGGCGGTGGAATTACCAGAATGCCTGGGTTGGGGGAAGCTGAACTTTTTACCTGTCTACACCAGTGGCTCAGAACATCTCCTTTTAAAGAGGAACTAAATGAATAGGGTTAATCTGTCAGGATCTTGGTTCCTTTTGTGATTGGGAAAAAACTTTGATCTTTTCTCTAAATGTACTGCATAGGAGTGTGTGGTGTGGCTTTCTTTTCTTTTTCCCCCCCAAAAAATCCCACCTCCTGCCCAGATTCTCTTGTTGCAGACCAATTGGCCACCAGGAGTCCTTCAATTAAAAAGAATGTGGGGTTTGCTTTTTCGTTGTTTTTTTTTTTTTTAAGGGAGACTTGTAACAGTTTGTGAACACCAGAGGAAAAGGAGAGAACAGCCTTTTAAACAGATTTTCCTAGCATTGTTAGTCAGACTGCAGGCATTAAGGCCCACGTTTTAGACTATTATAAAGGGGGGGGGGAGGTAGAGTAATCCATGAATACTCTACAGGTGGTCTTCTTACAATTGCTTCAATTTAAAGCATTTCTTTTTGCAAAGAACAAAATTCTTCTCTATAGCCACTAATTGAACCAGAGGAGAACTATTACCAACACGACTGTGTGTGTGTGTGTGTGTGTGTGTGTGTGTGTGAGGGGAAGTCTTCAGTGCTTGAAATTCTAGCACTACAATATTTGTTTTATAACCAACGTTTCAATACACAAAAAGCTATATTCTGCTTCATATTTGTATGCCTGTGGCTTCTGTTATATCTTCTAGAATACATGCTCAATGGATCAGGGGGCATGTCAGCAGTAAAAAAAACCAAAAAACTGAAACTGTCCCAGGACTGTTTGGTGCTAGGCAGCCATTTTGCTTAAGGCCAAAATTGCAAACAGAACTGTGAAAAGGGAAGAAGGTCTACTCCATTTCCCCCCAGTGTGGTGACAATATAAGTCCCCTGACACCACTGAGTGAGAGTGTGTAGTCCTGGTATATTTTTCACATTTGCCTCCATGCTACCAGTATTTAACTCAGTTGTACTTTGAGCAGACCCACTGAAATTAACAAACATGACTAATTTCAATGGGTATTCTCTGAGTAAAACTTAGTTGAATGCAACCCATTATTATTTATTAAACAGGATTTATATACTACTTAGCCATCAAAACCTCTAAGCGATTTACATAAAATATAGAATATACATTAAATTCACCAATAAGACCATATGTTAGCCTAATTTTTCCCCAAAAATAAAATCAGTTTTAAAATAAGCATTATGAAAGACATACTTAAATTATGTGTCTGGGTAGGTTTCCTTAAAGAAGGGTTTCTAGTAGGTGCCCAAAAAGGTTCAGTAAAATGATTCTCCATGGGCAGGGAGTTCCAAAGCCTAAGTTCTGCCAGGCTGACAAATCAATTCCTTGCAAGTGCAGAACTGCCATGGTTTGATGCATCATTTCTCTTTCCTTCCTTTAAAAATCCCCAAACAGGGATTTCCTCATTTGATTCTTGTTCCCTGTAGAAGGGAAAACTTAAGATGGGAAATTAACTTACCGTATGTGTTTTGTCCGAAGAATTTTCTTTGTTTTTTAATTTATTTATTTATTGGCTCCTATGTGATTTCAGCTGCTGAAGCAGAACACAACCTGCTGAGTTAAAATAGCCCAGTCAGCATTTTTTTAATTATTTTTTTAAAGTGAGATGGGGTTGAGGAGTGAAGCTGTTGCTTTGACTTGTCCAAGCAGTAAGTAGCTTAGAGTGTGCATTTTCTAGCAACTAAAAGCAAATGGGGAGCAACTTGTGCTCTTTCCAAGAAACGTTGTTGTTGTTGTTGTTGTTTAGTCGTTTAGTCATGCCCGACTCTTCGTGACCCCATGGACCAGAGCATGCCAGGCACTCCTGTCTTCCACTGCCTCCCGCAGTTTGGTCAAACTCATGTTGGTAGCTTTGAGAACACTGTCCCACCATCTTGTCCTCTGCCATCCCTTGTGCCCTCAATCTTTTCCAACATCAGGGTCTTTTCCAGGGAGTCTTCTCTTCTCATGAGGTGGCCAAAGTATTGGCGCCTCATCTTCAGGATCTGTTCTTCCAGTGAGCACTCAGGGCTGATTTTGTTCAGAATGGATAGGTTTGATCTTCTTGCAGTCCATGGGACTCTCAAGAGTCTCTCCAGTGCAATACAATGACGTACAGCAGGGGTAGCCAATGCTTGGGACTCCCAACTCCCATCAGCCCCAGCTAGTATGACTGATGATCAAGGCTGATGGTCAAGGCTGATGGGAAGTTATAGTCACCACTTTGGCTTACAGGCTGAAATAAGACATAGTGTATTGTAAAGTCATCCTTGGATTAAGCCCACTGAAATCTATAAACTTGACTAGCTTAAGCCCACTGATTGCAATGGGTTTACTCTGTAGTATATGATCAGTGGCTGGATGAATGCAAAAGGTACTGCAGAAACTTTGTTACTGTTGTATTCGTTCCAGGATTGTTCTTTTCCTTATAAGCTGGAATAGTACTAAGAAATGCCATTTTTGTCTCACCACAGGTAAGTCACTTGAAATCTTAGGAGCCCTGAGGGTGGAATCATAGAATTGTAGAGTTGGAAGGGACCCTGAGGATCATCTAGTCCAACCCCACAAAATGCAGAAATATGCAGCTGTCCCATATGGGGATTGAACCTGCAACCTTGGCATTATCAGCACCATGCTCTAACCAACTGAGCTCTCCAGGCTGAACTACAGTGGGACTGTAGGTTATTTCACATTTCAACAACACATGTTTCCACATGTGAAGTGCCCTTTACAGCTTCTTTAAATCCCCGTAATTAGTTGCAAATCTAGGTGGTGGTTGGTTGGTCCTTTAAGAAATACTGCTTTCCCCCAGTGAACAGATTGGGCTAAAAAGCAGTGCAAATAAAAACAAGCCTGAAGGAATCTGTAGAAAGCTGTGAAAGTTCATGACCACATTGGAGAACTCCTCACAGTTAAAACAAATTGGATAAAATTATAAACACCCTACAAAGTGGATGTTTCTCAAGATCAGTCTTCCTAATTAGTCAAGTTGGTTTCTTCTTGAATTCGACTTTGAGGAAACAACGAATTTAGAAAAGTAGAGGAAAACGTCCTGTGAATAGTTAGGGAGCAGTGCCACTTAGTGGCCACACAGGAAATTAACCCCAAGCAAAGTGGAACAGAAAGGTTGCTTGTGAATAACAACTTATTTGTACTAATTTAAATAGTATGCACTCTTGATAAAAAGAATGAAGGGAATAAGGTGCATTTTAACATTTGGTTTCAGAACAGGCAGTCATAATTTGCTGCTTCTTCCCACCCCCACTTCTTTAGACTTGCTTTGCATAAGAAAAATACCCTGCGCACAACTCACTTTAATGTAGGAAAATTGTGTCAATCCACATTATGGACTGCATACTTGTCGTATCACCAGTAAGCTAATTCAGGCTTACATGGCTGCTGCATGGATTAGTTAGTGGGTATTTTTACTATGTATTACAAGTAAATTCTACTCAGAGTAAACCTATTAAATGAATCAAATTTAGCCATGTTCATTCATCTCTGTAGTGCAGCTCTGAGGAAAACCTGGTTGAATACTATCTGATTTTTTGTATTCATATGCATAGTTTAAATTAGTCTGCATTTAAATTTATTTTAAAAAGAGTCAAGTTGCAATATGCTGAAGTTGTATTCAAATCAATGGGGTTTGCTTTCAAGTGAAAAAGCAATAGGACTGAGCTGGACACTTAAGGAGAAAGATACCAGAACAGGCTTCAAATCACACACCACAGTTTCCCTTTAAACATTTCACTTCCTTTTGCTTACAGTTCTGTAATCACAACTACTAATATTAATTACCACTCTCTTCCTACCTACACACTGACCACTCTTTGATTTCTTTAGATTAGTTTTGGGGAACCTGCGGTGCTCCAGAACTCCCATCATCCCTGACCACTGGCCATTGCTGGCTGGGCATGATGGGAACTGAACCTCTGACAAGCCACAGGTTTCCCTCCCCTGGTGTAAGGAAGAGAGTTAATCAATGAACATCTAGGCAGAGAATGCCATTAGCACTTGTGACCACAGAACTTACTGTGGATTAAGTATTCTGCATTTAAAAGTTTAACATTGTGCATGCATAATCCCGTGCACTGTGTCAAAAAGGCTTGCTCCCTTTTGTGTTTAGAGATGCGGCTGATGTGGACCCAAACACTACAATGTTTGTATTAGCAGAATGGCAAAGTTGTATGGCTTTTTAAACTAACCAATGCAGCATATGTCCACAGCATAGTACCCACTGAGGGTACTATCAGCTATTGGATCTTTGCAGCTTGCCTTCTTTGTTTCGAGTTGGTACCCTTAACTTTCTCGAAATATAAGAATGTGTGCCTATCATTCCTTCAGTCTCAAACTCCCAAGGAACACTGTTACTGGCAAAAGTACTGAGAGTTCCCTCTTGGAGCATTGGTGGAGACACAGAACTCTACAGGTTTTCCGGGTAAAAAGTCCCCTGACTTCTGGTACCAGAGTAGAACTTGCTCATTGGGGTGAAGTACTGATTTCTTGGTTCTGTGCAGGCTGTAGTCTGGGAAATAAATGATCTGCCTCTTGCATTCTGGGCAAGTTGTCCAGGATTGTGTATCAAGAAAATGGCCATGGAGCACATCACTGCATGTGACAATTGTGTTTATGTATTTCACAGCAAGTATTCAAACTAGGAATTTGCAAGTGGAGTTTCTTAGCCTTCTATTTACCATGTGTACATTTTTAAATAGGTAGCATAATGATGAGCTCTTCTCACACCAGTACCATCCCTATCACACCTCTGCTCTTCTCACACCAGTACCATCCCAGTTTCCATGATGCTGCAGACATTCAGTAGGCATATATGACCAGTTTCCCCAGGTGCAACCACTGGCCTGGTTTGCATGTCACAAAAACTGAAACCATGACTTAATGCACATGTGCATGTTCCTGGAGAGGAGCTCACAGCCACTTTGCTGCTTCCTGGTTATTTGCAGCACAGACCTAAACCATGGTTTGCGTGTCATTCAAACCCAGTTTGTGGTTTAGCTCTCCTGAATACACAACCACAAACCATAAAGCAGGTATGGGGAAACTCTGACCCACCAGATGTTGCTGAACTACAACTGTTATCACCCCTAACCCCTAATCACAAGCCACACTTGCTAGGGCTGATGGGAGTTGTAGTTCAGCAACATTTAGAGGGCCAACTCCTGTTGTAAACCATGGGGCAAACCTCGGTTACAGTACATGGTTATTACACTCAAGCCAGGGTTTGGACAACAGCCTAAGCCATGTTGTGGCCTAGCACAAGACAGTGGCACAGCAGAATGACCAGGGAGGAGCAATCTAGATATAATAGCCACAAACCCTCCAAGTGTCCTATTTTATAGGGACGTCCCTGATTTAGAGAAGCCGTCCCAGTTTCTGATTTCATCCTGGAATGTCCCACTTTTCCTTAGGATGTCCCTATGTTCATTGGAGAAATGTTGGAGAGCATGGAGTTACCTGACCTCCAAGCCATCTGAAGGCAATCTTGTATAGGGACCCGTCTGGCATGGCTGGGGCAACCCAGTAAGATGTGTGGTATATAAATAGTAAAATTATTATGGAATGGGGCATCCCTATTTTCCTCAGAGAAGTGTTGGGAGGGTATGTAGCCATGTTTGCACTAAGCCATGGTTCGGCTCCTGTAAAAAGTGGGTTCACATCAGGCTCAGTGAAGAGAGGAGCTACTTATACCTAACAGAAGATGGTCAGCTGGCAGAAAAGCCAAGAAGGAAATGGTGCACAATAGATCAATGGGAGCCCAAAGCAAAAAGTATACCCAGGGAAATGTTAGGACTGGGTGAGGTGGAATCCTATTTAGGACTAGCAAATTCATTCAGTGTGTCAATCTTTTAGGGGTTGGAATGGCGTGGGACTGGCTGGTGCTCTGAAATCCAGCCTGCAAACGCAGCAATGTTTCATTTCAGACTCCAAGGGGAAAGTTGGGCTGCAGGTTCTGTCTCTGAAAGTTGCTCCAGCTACATCATCCAGTTCTGATTTTCTGGTGGGGCATCTCCTCTTCTAACTGCAGGAATGGCAGACACAGACACGTGGGACAATTGCTTCCCGGTCAGGCCTCTAAAATGAGCCTGTGGGAGAGCAAAGCCTCTTTAACTGGATCTCTGTCATGGTTCATTGCCCCCACAGACCCCGTTAAGAGCATCTGCAAGCCCCTGGAATCTTGCAGCACTAGTGGAGACTGGAGTGGAGTGTGACAATATCTAGCTGCAGGCATGCTTGTTAAGAAATATTGCCAAATGTAAAGGCTCTAGGCAAACCAATATCCTACCCTATCTGGCTTCAGAGAAAGTTGCCTATATGGTGTTGCATGAGCAAGAAGTATCCTAATGTTTTCCCTTCCATGGAATAAGAGAACAGAACTTTGCACCATGCCCTCTGCTGGTAAAAAGGATGAAATTCATAAATATCTAGTAAAAGTGATTCAACTGAAAGGAAATGTATCTTCAGGCCAGTTAGCTATGATAATTAACCAGTTTTTGTTTCATTTTGAATCTATGTAGAGAACAGCCACGTACACAAATTTATATTTTAGGGATTATTATCTTACTCCAGTGAGAACATTGGGAATAGTAACACATAAACGCAAGATGTGTAAAATATTAGCAATATATATTTTTTTTAATGCTATAATACTAAAATCTCCAGCTCATCCATAACTTAATGAAATGAAAACCTATTCTTGATTTTAGAGGTAACAGTAACTCTCAAAGAGGTTTAAAAAATGTATAAACCCACTCACCCAATACACTACAAGACAAATATCTCACATTGATGTTTTAAAACCGTGAATTTAATTGTGGTGCATTTCAACTCAATACCAGATTAGCAAAACGTAAGAGGGTCACAACTCCTACCTACCTTCCCTGGTAACCCTCTACCAAAAACCAAGTTCAGTCTTGAAACCACACTTGTCTGAAAAAAAGGCAGTAGCTAAAATGATTAATAAGAGAACAGGAAAGAGAAGGGAAATAAAATAAAATCAAATTGGGCAGAATGAGATAGCCTCCCCATTTCATTCACAGGAAATCCATCCAGATTTTCTAGAAGAGTTTTGATTACACTCTTCCGTTATAAGCCAGGCATCCTTTCACAGTCTGGTCTATCAGACTCATCCTAAAACATTGGGCAGTTTGCAATGCTGTAGAATTTATCAAGGCCAACTTTTGTATGCATCCAGTTGTCAATGTAGCAAGAACATGTTCAATAACTTCTACACTGCTAAGATATCTGCTAGTTCTTAGGGTGGACAACATGGAGGTAAAGGGTTGAATCCAATAATAGCCATACGAAGAGTAGACCCATTGAAATTAAACATCTACTGACTTATTTGCAACACCAAGGTTTAAATCTTACACTCTTCCAATTCTTCTAGAGAGTAGTATGTCAATTACCTGATTGTACTAAAGGGGAGATTTCATTTTAATAGCACAAACAGGCCTGCAATTACACTTCTAGCACACTTTGGGGATAAATGGATCAGAAGCAAAGCTTTCCAAAATTCCAGCAAGAGAAAAATAAATAGGGTTGAGCTATCAGAATAATCCCACTCCACAGCTATATATTTCTGTTAATGTTGGACGTCATGCAACCAAACCAATTGTCATGATGCAGGTTTGGAAGATATATGTTGCCATTTGGAGCACTGAAACCCCATCTCTGACCATTAGACATTTTAAACCAACCTTAAATTTTGAATTTTTCAGCAGGCATTGTCCCCTCACTTTGAAGCATACGTTTCACAAATGCTGAAGATTAGATGCTTTCTCTTTCAAATATGAAAGCTGACGTTCGGAGCAATCCATATTCTGTTCTGATCTACTACATTCTGTGCACTTTTACAGAACACACGCTTTTCAAGATGAATTATTCTTTTTTTAAAATACAAAGTGGTATGTCTTCTGACACCTAAGTGATTCCAGAATGAGTGAAGAAATGTTATGTTTTATGTTGTGAACTGCCCTGAGATCTGCAGGTGAAGGGCAGTATATAAATTTAATAAATAGTAATTATTATTTTTAAAAGAAATCTGAAATTGTGAATGTCGGAATATACAGGAAATGAATGAAATATTTGTCAATGCACATTTTGTACACATATTTTAATGGTTAATGAGCAATGGCGAATGGACATAAACAAACGTGGGACATTTCCTCTCTCTCCCCCCAACTTTCCTTTTGTAGCTGCTGCCATGTATGCACTTCTAAATTGTTCAAAAGCTGAAAATAAAAGGACTGCTACTAAGCATTCAAAACATACTGCTTACAATGACTTCTCTGCAACTAAGCCAAATCTCACACCAAAAGGCATGCAAGTTCCATCAGAGGAATCAAGGCACCCTGGGACCCCCATCCTCAATCCCTCCTTGAAAGTGAATGGGCCCTTTTTAAAATCAGCTTCTTGAACAAGGGGAATCCAAGCTATGCGACTCCACGATCCAAGTCTTGGTGCGTGGATTTGCTTTAGAAAAAAAACAAAAAAACAGTCATGCCTCTTGTTACGTCCACTTCATGTTATGTTCTTTCAGGTTATGTCTCGTGGCGACCCAGAAGTACCAGAAAGGGTTACTTCTGGGTTTTGCCGCTTGTGCAGGCGCAGATGAGCAAAATGGCATCACGCACATGCGCAGAAGCGGCGAATTGCAACCTGTGTGTGTGCAGATGCGCCTCTGCGGGTTGCATTCTTTTCACTTTGCGAATGGGCCTCTGGAACGGATCCCGTTCGCAACCAGAGGTACCACAGTATTCTATTTCTGCTATTCAGAGGAGGAGATGCAAAAGAGAGAGATAGGCAGAGCAGTAAAGACCACAGAAATTCTTGTTAAAACCACTTTGGAGTTCTGAGAATTCAACAGATATTTCAGTCTGCATTTTAGAGCTTCTCTTGTGATCATTAAGTCCAGAAACATGTTCGGGGTTTTTTTGTAAAACACACACACAAGCCAATATTCTCAGAGTCCTGAATTTTGCCTCAAAAATGCACATTCATTCATTCTTAACAGGGGCTCTCCCTTTTATGATTACCTCCTCACCTCTACTTTGGGTCTCCATCAGCACCACTCCCCCATCCATGCATTGGGAGAAAGATCTGACAATGGGAGCCCCATCAACATGCACAGGTTCCCTGTGTGACTCTGTACCCCAACCGCACAGGGTTCTAAACAGCATGAGAAGCCGGTTTGTGCAGAGCAGGATCCACTCCTCAGACCTTCTTCCCGATGCAGATTGGGTGGCCAGTTGATGGAGGGGCCACATCCAGCAACCAGAGCCTTGCTGCCCCCCCCCCAATCCAATTGCAAACATGTGGGAAGATTTAGTTATTTCCGCTTTTGCTTTAGATACTCTGTGCTTGTGGCCAAAATTTATAAATAAGCACCTCCAGATGTAGCATGCATGCACACTTCATTAGCGAGTCTCCCTAGTAAAAGAAAACAAACCATCTAGCTGCATGCACAGAACGGCAATACGTATATTCAACCAAGGAGACTATTCCTACACTGTTCTTTAGATTGGCAGTATTTGGTAGTAGTTTTTCTGCCACTCTATTCTGACATTTTACACCCATTCGGATTTTTTGGATCTGGGGCAGCCAGCACTGCTGCAGACAGATTGGACATCAGAAGCCTTTCTCTCAAGGGAAGAATAATGAACCGAGGGCTTGTGGCTACTTGCAGGCGAATGGGCTCCATAACGGCACCCGTCCAGGGTTTTAAAAACCAACGCTCCTTTGAGAACGCCTGGCGGCTGCTCAAATCTCAACTGCTCACAGGAGATCTCTGGCTGCTCACTGTCATGGAAAGACACCCCTTTTCCCTCTTGGTGGGCAGATCCAACACACGATTTGTTGCTACTGTTACTACTGTTGAGGTTAGGGCCATTTTTTTGCTGAGGATTGAACACAGCTTGAAAGGAGCACACTTCCTTCACCTCTCGGCCAAGCAAACAGTTGCTGCAGTTGTCAATGACGGCTGTGTTGCCTTGGCCCCCCAGCAAATCGTTGCTTAGCTTGTCCCCTTGGTGCAGCAGGCCAGGACTGCATTTCTCTCCGGCCGCGAAACTTTCTGACAGCAGCTTCCTTCTCCGATTCCTAACAGCATTGGTTCGGAAGGCAAAGCCCAGGTCAACAAGGCTGAGGAAGAATGAGAGGCTGCTGAGCCCCCAGATGAAAAGCATCATGATGGATTTTTCTGTGGGCCTGGAGATGTAGCAGTCCACGTAACTTGAACAAGGGGCTTGGTTGCAGGAGAAACGTCTTGGGACAAAGAATCCAAAGAGGTAATAGTGCCCCACTCCAAAACTGGCCTCTGTCAATATTCTCAGAAGAAGGTGAACTGCATACGCCCTGGAAAAATCAGGAACAGCCATTTCGTTTCCTGTATGGGTGACTCTGCTCCTTTTCCCTTTGGACGATTTCTTTGCGACTTTGCCGCCCGCCGAAGGTTTGATATCTTTGTAGCGACGGTAGGCTGCGGAATGTGCCTTCACAACCTGCCTGCACACTTTGTGCAATACGTAGACGCCAAAGATGGCGTAAGGGAGCAAGACAGACGCGGTCTGAATGAGCCAGAAGCGAAAGTGGGACACAGGAGCAAAAATGTCGTAACACACATTGGAGCACCCTGGCTGTAAAGTGTTGCAGACAAAGCGTTCCTGCTCGTCTTGGTAGAGAGGGTAGGCTGCTAAGAATATCACCATAAACCTCAGCAGGATCACAAGAGTTAACCAAATCTTCCCTAGAAAGGAAGAACAAAGGTAGACATGTCATCGCTAAAGGAGTTGTGTCGTATTGTAGAATCCCTGCATATTTTTTACCCTGGTTGGCAACCACACACATACACACACACACCAGCTTCACCAGTTGGCTCACTCATACACCAGCCAACCAGCAGGCAAGAGGGTAAATTACGGTTGCCATATTTCAAAAAGTGAACACAAAAGTTGTTGAGGTGTTGTTGTTTTTTGAGAATTTAAGTTTTGAGCTATTTTTAAGGAAATTCGCCAAAATCTAGACTTCTGACATGAGTTGCCATACATCCGGATTTCCCTGGAGATTTAAGAGATTTCCGCCTGGACACTGTTTCCGACTGCCATATTCCAGCTATGTCTGGGAAATTCCAGATGTATGGTAACCCTACTCTAGATATTCCATAAATACAGCAACAGAGGGCTTTGGTTAAGAGTTCACCCCTGACACTCAGCTGATCACATCCATTTATCTCTGTTGTCATGTGTATGGGAGCCAACAGCTGAGATGCACAGACTGAGCCCCACGTTGGGTGAAATATCCCTGCATTGTAGGGGTTGGACCTGATTATCCTCACGGACCCTCCCAACTCCATGATTCTATGATAAATTCTATGATGATAAATTCTGTGAAGGCTCTGTTGCTGCTCACATTGGGAACGGGGGATGTGAAAGGGTTTTCGCTCGCATCTTGACTCGCATGGCAGAAAGTGGCTGAGGTGCATAATGTAGAAATCCTTGAGAAACAAAATGAAGATCGGAGATTATCAGCCTTCCACAACCTAACCGACTGAAAACATTGTCAGACTACAACATGCTGTGTCCTCATTAGCCTGTGTTCTGTGCACCCCAGCACCCACTTTAATGTTCTTTTCAGAAGGTTTTTCAATACCTCAGCAAAACTTGGGGTTCTTTTGAGCCTCCTGCAGTTCCTCCAGCACCTCATGGATGGACCACTTTGGCTATCTGGGGTGCAGCACTCAGATAACAGAGTTTGCTATTGTTAAAGACGATTTGAGGATTTCTCCTAAGGTGCACCTGGCAACATTTCTCAGGAGACGCTTCCCAATTTTGAAGCATAGGTGGTTGCTCTACCACAGGTGAACATTTGAGAGAAGCTTTTTCCCCTTCCCCTTTTTTTAAATAAAGCATAGGAACAGAAGTAGCTGCCTTATGCTGAATGAGAGCATTGGTTCATCTAGCTCAGTATGGTTCACACTGACTGGCAGAAGCTCTCTGGGGTTCTTTCTTAGCCCTGAGATGCTGGGGATTGAACCTGGGACATTCTGCATGTAAAGCAGACACCCTACCATTGAGCTATGGCCTTTTGCCCAAAGACTTGGAAGTTCTGCACAGACAGAAATCGGAGGGTCAACAAGCCCAACTTTTCATCACAAGAGAAGAGAAATGGAGACGGAGGAAATGCAAAGCTTTTGGTATGCACTCTTAGTACTGTTCTTGCTTGCTTGTTTGCTACCTTGAGGGTGGAGCCCCATTTGCTGGGAGAGAAAAAAAATCAGGGGGGAAAGATATAGCATAAATACATAATTTTAAAAAAATAAAAATTTGGCACATCGGTTTGGGAACACAAGGCATCTCAGCTCTAGAGAGAGCGAATTCTAGAATGCCTTGAACCCATTAAGAGCTTAGCAATGACCTTCATTAATTTATTTACTCCAAATTGCTGTAGGCAATGTGAGTATAAACACCCACAGAAATCACTCCCACCAAGAGGACTGACAGAATCAAGTTTTTCGATCAGTGCAAAGTTAAGGGGGAAACCAGATGTACACATGCTAGCTATTGGCCTCAAAAATCAAACAGAGGACTCAGTGAGAACTTGGTTCAGCAATTGCCCATCAAATTACTTCAAGCCTCCTTATTTTCATCTGGGATCTGCACTGTTGAAATGATTGCTTAATAAAAGTGTAACTAGGCTATCTTGCAGGGCATAATAAGTTCATGCTCTTGCATCTGCATTTGTCTTCATGTGCTATTTTTCTAGAAAAAGAGATGTTCTCCTATAATGGCATTGGTGCCAATCTGAGAGGTGCCGGAACGGAGTTCCAGTGAGTTCCGGCTGAAAAAAAGCCCTGAAACAACTAATGAGAAAGACCAAAAATGGCCCTAAATTTAAATAAAGGATAGACGTCAAACAGCAATATCAAGCAAATTTTTCATTTACAAGCAAATGTTATTAAAATGCAAACGAGTGAAACAACCAAAAATACACAGGCACAGAACAAAAACCAGGACAGTTCCCAGGAACTGGGTGCCAACCCTGAACAACAATTAAGATGTGGGTTTTTGTTTTTTTAATACTCACCAATAATCGTCACATTGTAGCTGACAGCAATGATTAAAAAGCCGACTGAATCCCAACATTCCATGTCTGAACTCAGCTGCAGGGATCCCCCACTTACTGAAGGAATACGAAAAAATTGAGCATTTTCAAAAACCACAGCGATCTAAACAGAGAGGGCAAAAAACATTCGAGAGCTGGCCAGGAACAGGAGTAACAAAATCCTCTGCAGAGAAAAATGAGCCTTCCTTAGGAGACCCAGCTATATACCACAACTTCACAGTCCTATTGATTGCTCTTACCTCTGCCCCGACAACTGCAAGAAGACAAAAGGCAACAGGAATTATCTCTGCCATTGTCGGCTATTCTTACTCTCCCGGGGCATTCCAGCCTCCTGAAATTGCTGGGATAGTTCAGTGGTGAAAGAGAAATCAAGCAGGGGAAGAAATAATAGAAGCGGCTTTGTTTCTCCCCCGACAAGTGATAAAAATGGATAACGTGAGGAAAGAGGATACTGAAACATCAAGTGTTATGTCTGTGAATGGCATTTTCCTCTACAGCAGCGCCATATGAAATGAGAAATAAAATCCAGCTTCCAAAAGATGGTCACACGGTAGCGTCACCAACGGAAATCAGTGGTGTCTCTGCACATTCCTGTTTCACTCTCCTCAGTAAATGAGCAGGAAATTTATTCCTGTGGGACAACAAAGCCCTGAACTTGGGGACATGAAACCTGCCTTGCTCCCTCAGCGCTGGGCGGCCTGGTCTTTAAAAGCACGAACGCTGAGAGGTGGCGGCAAAAGTGTGTCTGTGTGGAATGCCTTCCACAGAGGTGCTGAAAATATACAGTATCTCCTTCCTCACACATTCTGCCCCTCAAAGAAAATTAATGGGAGAGGTATATAAAATTATACATGGCACGGAGAAATAATAAAACTTGGTGGGTCAGCCAAATAAAACTGAATTTCGGAAGGTTCAGGTCAGACAAAAGGAAATATTTATTCAATCACACTGCCCAGTTACAACTATGGCTGTGGTGGACACCACATTGGAAGGCGATTTTAGAAGGGGATTACTTACATTTATGGATGATAAGGCTTGTCAATGACCACTAGTCATGGTGGCTTATATATTACCTCAAGTATTAGGGGCAGTGTGGCAGTCCCTGTGAAACACGAATGGAAGAGAGATATTGCACTCACATCCTGCTTTTTGACTTTCCATAGATAACTGATTGGCAGAGTTGGCCCTACCATTAGGCAAAGTGAGGCAATCGCCTCTGGCGGCAGATGGAGGTGGCGGGTCAGCACTCCCCAATTGTTAGCACCATCTGAACTGTGTCTCCTCAGAAGTAGGCCCTACTGAATTCAATTGAACATACGCCCAGATATGTGAGGCTAGAATTGCAGCCTCCATCATACTTAAAAGAGCAGATCCAATTAAACGAATCTTTTCAATGGGATCTAGTCTACGTAGGACTAAGTCTAGATACAACCTGCCACATACATATTCCAATGGTTTTACACCTGTATTATTTACCATGTTCTAGCTGAGGGAGTTTAATTTTAACCTATTTTTATTTACATGTCCTCTATTGCTGTATATGTCCATATCTCTGGTCTGTGACCGTAATAAATCGATTCAGCCTGTTTGGGTGAAAGGCAGTTCAGAATTTGAAAGAAAAAAAGGAATATTACAAAACTGATTAACAAAACCTGTGGAAGGTGCCATTCTTAACCCATCTTGCACATTATATTTCCTTACGGCAGGCAAGGAGGATCTCCAGCCCATAGATCTAATCTGGATAACCATGCCTCTTACTCCAGTCCCTGGCACTCCCATGGCCCGTTTCCTGCAAGCCACACCACTTTTCCCTCACCTCGTCCCCATCCTGTGCCAGCAAGACAGCCATACAGGAAGAAAACAGTTTTTAAGGTGGTTCACTTTCTATCCTGTCTATCTGACAGCTCACCGCATTTCTGTGCTGGCCTCGGAGGAAGAGACTTTCCTTCCTTTGTAGTCAGGGCTGAAATCAAGTGAGCTGCCACAGAAGGAATGATCAGTTCTTCCACCATCCCACTCCCTTGTCTGAATGGAACTGCTGGCCTAGGCTATGAGACTGTAGCACCTCAGTTTAGTTTTATGGCATTTCTCCATGCAGTAATTAGAGGAGGCTGCCCAAACACATTGCTGCTTTGCAGCATTCACCAAGCGTTTATTATTTTGGTGATGGGGGGGGGGGTCCTTGTAGGTGCATTATTAAAGTTGCTTTAAAAAAAATATGTCACCACTGCAGAGTTAAAATAAGAATCCTTTACACATTCTTGGGTTTCTCCAGTGACCGTGTTAAAAGACAAAGCTCAAATCTGTTTATTCAGTTACTGAATGAAGATACTGTTTTGTGTGTGCTTCACCCCCTCCAGCCATTTGAGAAAGAGAGATGGTGGCAAGATGGGCCGCGGGAATTTGGCAAGAAAAAGTGATATCCACAAACAGAGGCTGCACTTCAACTAGGGCACAGAGACCAAAGCGACGATAAATGAACTGATGCTATGAAACAGGTTTACTTACCTATAATTTTGCCTGTTCTCTTTTAGTAGTCACACACACAGGACTGCGAGTGTGTGGATCATGGCAAAGAAACAACCAACGCTTCGAGAGGCATTCTTTGTCCTTCCCCTGTTGCAGAAAGTAACAAACACCTTTCCCCTTAATTCTTTTTTGACGGTCTTAGGAGGCTGCATAGAGACCACATTAAGAATACGAAAACACAGAGATCGGGGGCCACCCTACTCTTCACGTTGCTTATCCAATCTTCCAGCGGTGCCAAAAGGAAACTCTGGGAATGCAGGATTTAAAACTGTGTTAAAAATCTATCTACTCTCTCAGGTTGAAGGGAAGGGGAGCAAAAGGTGAGATAGACAGTGTCCCGTCCCCCCCCCCCGCCCCTGATTTCTAGACCAAGGGTGACAACTCCAATGGAGACGTGGGAAGAGAAGGAGAGGATTCTGTAGTCGCAAGTGCTGGAGAAGGCCTGTTCTCCACAGTAATTTTCACTATTCTGCATCATTTATTCTGGGTTTGGTAGTCATGGGCAGGAGCCAAAAGTCCCCCCTCCAACCACCGGACATTTTATTCAGCCTCCTCTCTTGCTGCTGAGATTTCAGCAGGCTTTCCCTATACCAGGGGTCAGCAAACTTTTTAAGCAGGGGGCCAGTCCACTGTCCCTCAGACCTTGTAGGGGGCCGAACTATATTTTGAGGGGAAAATGAACAAATTCCTATGCCCCACAAATAAACCAGCATTTTAAATAAAAAGACACATTCTATTCATGTAAAAACACACAGATTCCCAGACTGTCCGTGGGCCAGATTTAGAAGGCGATTTGGCCGGATCCGGCCCCTGGGCCTTAGTTTGCCTACCCATGCCCTATACCTTTGCAAGCGTTTTTTCATATCTATAAAAGGGAAATACCACAATACCACATGCTAAGCTTCCACCAAGACCACGTGTTAAACAATGGTGCCACTTTGGGGCAGAAGTCCAGGGTCCCAGTCAGGAGAATGGACAGGGGGCACCAAATGCACCAGAACTGGCTGAACTCATTTTGAAGGAAGCAAGGTAATGCACTTTACTATCTAAAGAGCTCTATCCTCCCAGTAAAACCAGCAAGTGCAGAGTCTACAATTATCTAAATGCACTGCCATTTGCCAATGCTTCTTTGCAAAGCAATGTCCTCCAGCTTATAGCTGGAGCGGTGTGATGCTTAGAATATTGGACTAGGATCTGGGAAGACTAGGGTTCAAATCGCCACTCAACCTTGGTTCAGTCAGTGTCCTTCGGTCTAGCCTACCTCATTGGATTGTCATGGGGATAAAATAGACAGAGGAAGAAGTGAGCTTCTTGGAAGAAAGGTGGGATGTAAATAGAATAATAAACAGATCAAATGTATGAGTGCATAATGGGGTTTGCTTTTTGCAACAGGGGTACACCTTTGTAATCACAGCAATGAATCAGCCTTTTTTCTTTTTTCTTTTTTTGTTTGAAGTGTTGTGTTGGAAATGTTAAAAAATTAATAAATATCATTTAAAAAAAGAAAAAGAAAACAGAGGGCAATATTAACAAGCCAGAATTTTTCAGCAGTTTTTAGCAACCTTTGATGCTAACAGATCTCCTAGGAACAGTAAACTTTATGGAATCATCCAGAGAAGAACCCTAAAAAATAATAATGCTGAAGCACTGCAAAAATGTAAAATTAACAAAAATAAAAATAAAACCCACATTTAACAGATTTTGTTTTGTTTTTTAATTTTTAGTGCAAGAAACATAACCAAGTTAAATCACAGAATCAGTACTAATTGAAGAATATGGAAAATTCTCCTATACAGAGGTAGAATCCAGTGCACAAGGCTAAAACGATATCCAATATAGTCTAAACAAGACTGAGCCAGGTTTTACGGAATCCACTTGAAATTTTACAATAAATAGACTATACAATCTTTAAAGTTGTTTAATAAATTTCACAAAATTATAGTAGATGCATTGAGAACTTTACATAATGCAAACCTTGCTCTCTTTCTGATCTTCCCTTACACCAGCCTTCCCCAACCTGCTGCCCTCAAGATGTTTTAGATTACAACTCCCATTGGTCCAAACCAGTTGTAGTCCAATGCATTTGGAGGGACTTGGTTGGGGAAGGTTGTCCTATACCCATTGCAAACTGTGCTTGCTAGAAAGTCAGCCCCAAAATGTTCTGCAGACTGTTGATAAAACAACTCCAGGTACAATCACATTTCTAACCCAATTCTAACAAAAGCTGGCCTTTTTCACTCTCGCTCTTCTCTTTTCTTTAAAGAATTTTTAAATTTGAAACATTCTAGTCAAGGAAAAGCCAAAGGCAAAAGGGGGACCCTCAAAACTTGATAAGAATCAAAGTTTTGCTATATTGGCACAGTAATAAAAATAGTAGCAACAACAATAGCAAAGCAATGAGAATTAAACTGATTGGGGAACATAGATGGGCAAAACCTTCATGTCATGTAATACATGTTAGTAGAAAACTCTACTTAGTTATTAGCAATTTAACCTCATCAGTGTGTGTTACCCTTTTAAGGCAGATAGCATAATCAAGGACACAGTTGTCTGATAAAAACCTTTAATGCTCTGGGGTCATAAGCATATTTAGGGAACACAGAGGGAGCGTCATTCTGTGTTCCTGATTCGGCACTGTGGAACCAAGCTAGTAGCATGGTAAGTGTCTTCGGGAAGGGAAGGGAACCTGGGGCTCTTCTAATATTGTACTACAACTCCCATAATCCCTGACCGGGCTGGTTGAGGCTGGTGGGAGATGCGAGTCCACCATCTGGAGGACCACAGATTCCCCATTCCTGTCCTAAGAAAACCAAGGTCTCCTAGCTACCCAGGACTGGGGAGCTGGCTGTGTAGGTGATAAGAGCCTCGACTGTAGGCCTGCTGGGAACCAGCATGTCTAAGCCACCCTAACTTGCACTCCTAAGTCAAGATCCCCAAACGGAAACATGAATTCACACGAGAGAATTAAGCGCTTTCTGTTTCTTATGCAGCAGCTCACACCAGTAGGGAGCAGTTGTTCGGTTGCCTCTTTAGTAACAGGAGCTGTCGCAGAAGAAATTGAGAAAAAACTTTCAGGTGTGCAGACATACCTCCTCTTTGGCATCCTGCAGGGATTGGAAGCAAAGAGCTCCCCATAATCAGAGCCGCATGGATGTGCTCTTGTCACATGAAACAGTTGGGCTGGAAATGTCAAGTGAACAATTCCTAACTGGGGTTTTAAGGCTCAATGAGACCAGATAAAGAAATGTGTAAGGGCATGTCTCCTGCAAGAGATGACACTGAAGCTAATGGTATTAGCTCAGGAAGATAGCTTGTCCTGCACAACACCCAAGGGGAGCAGGGTGCAAGTAGACATATGGAATAGGAGTTTCTGCAGAAGACGCTCTGGTGGAATGTGGTGTGTATGGTTTCACTTGAGGAGTGCATGTAGAGCAAGTGCCACACATTGAAGACGAGGTCTCGTCTATTTCGCTGTGACTTGCACAGGAGAATTTGTGGAGCTTCAAGATCACGGAACTTACTGTACAACTGATTTTGGTTTTTGTTTGTCTTATGCATCGTAAAATGGCATCCTTCTCAAAATGTGCAAAATAATTCATAGATGCTTATACAGAGCACAAGGCTTTTTCCCCTTTCCTTTTTTTTCAGAGATAACGTGATTTGCTTTATATAAAAAAGGTATTCAACTCGTTTATCCCATTAAGGAAAAGAAGGGTGGGAACCAGTAGTAACAACAACAGAAGTACAATATAATCAACAAAGCAACAAAATTTTCTTCACAGTTTGCATTTTGTTTAAATTTCTAGAAGCACCTACACTGAAAAATGCATTTTAACGGTTTTTATTCTGAAATCTAACCTGTGACAAAACACTTGGTAAAATTAATATAGATTTCTTCTTCTTCTTCTTCTTCTCCTCCTCCTCCCTCTTCTTCCATGGACCCTTTTCCACTAGAACAAAAATTCTTTTTTTCATTTTTTTTTTTCTATTTTATACAAACAGATTGGTTTCCATTTAAAGTAAACATATAAAAAACTTGAGGCTATTGCTTGCAACATTGAACCAGGAAGTGAAGGAAATCATCTGTCTCTGCCATACAAAAGAAGATTCTCTCTCTCTCTCTCTCTCCCACTTTCTCTCTCACTTAATCTCTGCTAAATCTCTAAATGCAGTGAAAAAACTTGCAAACAAAAAAAGGACTACTGCATCCAATGCAAATTTCACCTCCTTGGCCCAAGTTCCACTCTCACCTGGATCCTTCCAACAACCATAACTTTATAGTAAGGAAAAATAAAACTATCCCAAATAACATAGGAAGGCACATGCAGCCACATATACTATGAAGCAGCCAGCATCCGAGATGCAACCTGTGGGAACACACCACGGACACGGTCGCTATAAATTAAAAAAAGAAAGAATTCCAAACAATCACCTGATCTTCTTTTTTTTGTATACTTTTGGTTCAGCACTAGAAATCAAGTCAAATTTTGTTTTTTCAAAAAATACAATAAAGGCATACGAGAAACAAAATATGCATAATAATTAAGGGGAGAAAAGGCTAATAAAACAGCTTATGAAGGGAAGCCTAGTGGATGGAGTAGGATGGAGGCGATGGGAGAGAAGAAAACAACCGATGGCGTCTGGTTCAGAGGCTTGTGCTACAGTAGATACTGCCTTCTTCATACTTGCTGCTTTGCAGAAGCAGGAAAAGCGACTCCCAGACAAACAGCAAGGGAGGAATGAAAAAAGATATAAAACCCAGAAAGCCAATGGAAAACACTGAAGAGAAAGTGAAAAATCCTCTCTCATAGTGCTTCTTCCAAGCCAATCTTGTGGTGCGTTTTTAAAATTCCCATGCTATTGTCTCTGCTGAGGATCTTTTTCTTTTTAATAACACACACACTTGCTTTTCTGTTCTTCCAAGCATATGTATGTAGTTTGCCTTTTCCTCACAAAAAAAGGACAAATCTGCAGCAAAACAACAGAACCAGCTTTCTTCCGAAGTTCTTCCCGATGTACTGATGTCTCTCTCCTGTCCGTATATTTATTCTTGTGTGCTACGCAACGGGGGAGGCACTGTAAAGGCAGATCTAAAAACAAGAATAAGGAGAAGGGGGGGAGAACGAGGGGGGGGAATAACAACCCCCTCCCTCCCAAAGTTGATGATAGAAACAGTATTTTTGAGGACTATCCAAGATTTCAAACATTAGGAGATAATCGCAGGTGACCACCTAACTACAGTCAGATTGTCCGAACTGACTGACCGTTTCTTTGCTGATTTCCTGAAGTCCTTATACTTGTCTTCACACAAGCGGGAGATGGCCTGTAGGGAGATGGGCAAGGGAGAAAGGTCAGACACGTGAAATAACCTAGTACAGACTGCTCTGACTGGCAGTAGCTCTCTAAGGCTTCAGGAGGAGGAAAGTCTTTCCCATCCTCTGCGTCCTACCTGACCCTTTTAACTAGAAATACCAGGAGCTAGACCTGAGCTTTGCTTTCCCCAAAAAACTGGAGAGGCCATGGCTTTACTTTGGGGCCTTCTGCTTGCAAGCCCATGCTCTGCCACCTAAGCTATGGCCCTTCCATCTTTCTTTGTAATCCAAGCCTGGCGAAGTTGAGACCCTAGCAAGCCAAAAACAGCCTGTCTGCCATGCAGCCCACCCAGGTGCTCACTAACCCCCTTCCTGTTCCATTACTCCAATTTTGTAGCCCATCCAGATAGGAGGAGGAGTTTGGAATTGATATCCCGTTTTATCACTACCCGAAGGAGTCTCAAAGTGGCTAACATTCTCCTTTCCCTTCCTCCCCCACAACAAACACTCTGTGAGGTGAGTGAGGCTGAGAGACTTCAAAGAAGTGTGACTAGCCCAAGGTCACCCAGCAGCTGCATGTGGAGGAGCGGAGACACAAACCAGGTTCCCCAGATTACGAGACTACCGCTCTTAACCACTACACCATGCTGGCTCTGGTGGTTAGCAATGGCAATGATCCCTCCCTCCCTCCCTCTCTCCCTCTCTCCCTCTCTCTCTCTCCTGTGACATCCCAACTTTGCTTTTTCATTTATCTTGCTATTGTACAGTATGACACTGTTGTAAATTGATTGCTGTTTATTGTGTGTATACACACACACACACACACACACACACACACACACACTTTTTAAAGCCTACACTCAAGTTTTTCTAGTGGGCTTACATTTTGTTTGAAATTTTTCAGAGAGTGCAAAATAAAGGGTCAGCTTGCCACATCCATAAGGTGTTTGTGATGGGAGGAGATCAAGGTTCTCACCTCAAGTTTATATGCCCTGTCCCTGCTGAGCGGCTCCAATGGAAAGCTCAGGTTGTTTGCTTCTGCCAGGGATCGCAAATCAAAATAATACTTGGCATAAACACTGGAGGGAACATTAATGTTGAACTGCAACAACTCAAGAAACTGGCGTTCCAACTCATTCCTGCAAAATAAATAGCAAGACACGTTTTAAACTCTTGACCCGAAGGACAATAATTTACTTTGTCTTATAACAGGCTGACGCCAGAGAAAGAAAACGTATTTTAAGCTTGTCACAGACATCTTGTGGGAACCTGAGCTATCTTCAGCCCAGGCAGTTTGGGGACAGTTTCTCCTCCCCACCCACCCAAATGTTCAGGTTCAACAAAAGGTTGTCATACGTAAGCTTTTATCTCATGTTTGTTAATGGACTATCAAGCATTCATTTCCATTGCATGCTTGTGGCTCACTTCCCAGCAATGGCCAAGTATGAAATTTAACAGCAGATGCTCAGTCGTCAATACAAAAAAAAAAAAAAAAAAAAGTGTATTAGATCAGTCATGTGCTTCAGTTGCTTGTGATTTGCTTGGTCAGACAAGTTCCAGCACATTTTGACTTGTATAAGGAATTTTGGACTGTAACAGGACTACACAATATAATCTGTAGGGGAATCAAATTCTCTTTGTTTTATGAGCTTTTAAATAGGGCTTTTTGTATACTGTTGAATTTCATTCCAAAGCAGCATCTGTTCCTCAAGCTAACACACATAAATATAAACAAGCTCAGATCGACTTTCCCCATTTTTGATGTACCTGTGTAGGAAACTCCAATGCTTCACAATGGAAGAAGAGGTATAACCAGAACACCCTGAGGCAAAGGGAGTGTAAGCCAAGGAACCATCCTACTTTGATGAAGTCTGAAAGCCGCTCCTTCACTTGCCTCCTCTGCTCTCTTCCTCTTTCATGCGTTTGACTAAAGCTTCCCTTGCTCCTTACTCTGTAAAACTAACCCACGTCTTCTTGAAAGTTGCAAAGATTTTAGAATTCTGCTTGATTTCTGTTTAGGTACACCAAGGTACATCAAGCGTGGTCTGCACCCACATAAGCAGACCATAAAGGAAACCACTCTGCAATGTGTTGGACTGCCATCATTCAAGCCTGCAGCGAAGCATAACTAGAATAAGACTATCAATGACTACCAGCCAACTACTGTCCAAGGTAGTGTGCTTCCAAATACCAGTTCCTATACAGCAATGGGAGCTCACCCCATCGCAGGGATTTGAACCGCCGCAACAGGGTGTGCTCCCGTTGCTTGGTCCCTGCTCCTGCCAACCTAGCAGTTCGAAAGAACATCAAAGTGTAAGTAGATAAATAGGTACCACTCCAGCAGGAAGGTAAACGGCGTTTCCGTGCGCTGCCCTGGTTCACCAGAAGTGGCTTACTCATGCTGGCCACATGACCCAGAAGCTGTACGCCGGCTCCCTTGGCCAATAAAGCGAGATGAGCGCCGCAACCCCAGAGTCACGACTGGACCTAATGGTCAGGGGTCCCTTTACCTTTACCTTTACCTTTACCTTTACGGAGTGGTAGTTCTATTAGCCATTGTGAGAATGCCAATAGTTAAGACAGAAGACCCATCTAACCGGGTTGAATCCAAGTTAAATTAGTTGAACTTACTTCTCTTTGAAAAATCAGTGGGACTTAAGTTATGGCTAACCTCCCATTGATTTAAATGGCACCTAATCTCAACTAATTTAGTCTAGCTCCAACCTTGTTTATTTATCTGTTGTGTTTATTTCTCTACCAAATAGCTCCCAAAGTGGTGTGCAATGCAAGATAGATCATCATAATAAATTTAAACAACTTTTTTTTTTTTAAAAAAAGGAAAAATAATGGTCAGTTCTATTGTACATCATAGGGACAACAGATATAACAGTGAACTCACATGTCCTCAACGGTGATATCTTTCAGAATCTGACAGTAGTCCACATTCCACACGGCCTGGTCATCCCAAACTTTTGATGCCAGTAGAATTGCACCCAGCACAATTCGCTTCCAGTTTGCTGGACATATATCTATCTCCGCGTAAGTTAAAAGTCTTTCAAGATATACCTGAAAAGACACAGTATTTTCATTTGTTCATTCATGGCACTTTACGAATAACAGGTTGGACACATCCCTATCCCAAGGGGGCTTACAATCTAAAAGCAGACAAAACGAAAACAACAGAAGAAAGGGGTGTGTGGAGGGGAGGCAGGGGTTTTTTTATTTAAAAAATGCACAATGTGTTTCATTTAAACATGCTGTGGCTTAATAATAATGAGGAAGAAAGTTGGCCCAAGTTATTGGTAGAGAGAAGGACTGACCAAATCCAGTTCCTCACCTCTGGATTATGCTCTAGAGATTCATAAGTATATATGAATCCCTCTCCCACCAGCTGCACATATAGTACCTTGAAACACAATCCTATGAAATTAATTCCCTCCATTCTCCTTGTGATTACTTGCTCCATATGGCCCAAAATACCAGATTGCTGGTACTCTGTCAGCATCACTTTACTGCCACATAATTGTTCCCTAGAGACTTGTCATGCAAACTACATTTCAAAAGCTTCCTATACTTTCCTGATACAACATTCATGGGTCCATATTCAAGAAAAACCACAGCAATTTAGCCTCCCTTTACTGCTGGTATTTTCAGACTCCTGCAGAGAGACAGCTTTCATCAGTACTGGTATGGTAATACAGCTTCAGGAGTCATAGGTAAAAATCAAGGTAACTTCGAGAATTGCATTTTCAAATCCAAGCCATCTAAGTAAGTGGGGAAATAGTATTCTGAGGTATTTAGCCACAGGACAGTTTAGCATAGACAGGACTGTTTGGAGGACAACCATGAATTAAACAGGACAATGTAGAACAGCTAAGTGACAATCAGCGAAAGGTGCCAGAAGCGCCTTGCCACTTAACACAGGTTAGGTTCCCACTTAACACAGAAACCGAACACAGGTATCAGATGCAAAGTTAGGCTAGAACCCTGACTTGCCCTAACCATGGTTAAAACTGCTGGCAATGGTTAACTTCCCAGCAGGGGAAATTAGTATTCTGGAAGAGAGATAAGCCCAAAAGGAGCACATGATCTCTTCAGCTGCTTGCAAATGTAACCATGATTAAAACAATCATCGGTGTTATTTATTTAGGAGACCACTGTAAGCAGATGAAAACATTAGCAGGATTCTAATCACACTTGTAACAAATGCGATGAATAAAATAGACAGATATAAAATATAGATTATGATATAATATGCAGTTGGAAACGCTGACATTAGGACCCACAGAGGGGATGGGGGCAAGTCGCGAAATTAAGAGAAATCTCTGTAGAGTGGTACCTCTGGATGCGAACGGGATCCGTTACAGAGCCCCGTTCGCATCCTGAAGCGAACGTAACACACAACTGCGCATCTGCGCATGCGCGGGTCACGTTTTGCTGCTTCCACGCATGCACGTGATGTCATTTTGAGCATCTGCGCATGCGCAAGTGGCAAAACCCGGAAGTAACGCGCTCGAAAATATTCATCCCAAAGCTACTTCAACCCGAGGATGCACTCAATTAAAACATTATATCCTATATCAGAGGAAGCAATATTTCTAGCGGTTCTGGTGCAAAACAAGTACCGTATTTTTCGCTCGATAACACGCACCTGACCATAACACGCACATAGTTTTTAGAGGAGGAAAACAAGAGAAAAAAATTCTGAATGAAACAGTGGATGTATCATTTTTGTGCTTCATGCTGTGGCCACAGACATGTGATTTGACGGTGAGTTTGGGGTAGCCCAATGCAAAAATCCTGAGAATCCATGTGGATCTGTGCTTTGTAACCACGTTTTTGTACCATTGCAGCCCCAGGCAACAGTGGGTGCGTGATTTTTTTGGTGCAGGCTGTAGCCATGGATATGCTATGTGATCTGATGGTGAATTTGGGGTGACCCAATGCAAAGATCCTGAGGATCCATGCTTTGTAACCACGTTTTAAGTGGGGAGGGAAGGAAAAACATAGAAGGGACAAGGAGCACCGAGAGGGGTGTGCGGAGAAGCAGCTGGCTAAGAATGCAGGAGAGGGGTTTTACCGGAGGGAGGAAAGGAAGGCAAAAGTTCCCCCAGCCACCCACCCAAGCCAGCCAGCCAGCTAGCTCTCTCTCTCTCTCTCTCTCTCTCTCCCCCGCCCCCACCTGCATGTTGCCTGCGAGTCCCTAGACGCAGCAGCACCGGAGCACGGAGAGGAATTACGGTAGAAGGAAGGACGCTCTGCTTTCCCCTCTGCTTGCCTGGAGTGGAGGGGTTTTCTCTGCTCTTTGTTCCGTTTGAGCAAACACAGTAACGAAACAGAAGAGGGTGGGCAGTAAGACCCTGAGGCAAAAAGAAGGAAAGCAACAGCTTTCTCTCTCGGGAGGCTCGAACGCACGTGTGGCTGCCTGCAATCAGTTTACCACACCGAGACTGAAGATAAACTGGTAAAATAAGGGGGCTGAGTTAAAGCTAAAAGGAAAACCTCAAAGATCCCTCAAGAACAAGGCAGGGGTTCAGGGCTCCCAAAGCCGAGCTGCAGCCTTAGAAGGGAAAAATGGGGCTTTCGGAGGTGGTTTTTACTGCCCCGCTGCTTCCAATTTTTTAAAAGGCAAATTGCAGGAGAAGATGCAGCAGTCAGTCACTCTCTCACTCCCTCCAAGCACCCACGCTAGCGAACAAACACACAGGCAGCCACACACTCACAAAGCACACACACTAGCAAACACACAGTCGCGCTGCAGAGTGGCCAAACCTCCTAGCAAGCACTTCCCTGGCTTCTGCTGACCGCAACGAAGACGACCCTCGAAGAAAATGTGTGATGCACTCGGGCCAGTCGGCTCCAGGGACCACACATTCGCTCAATAACACGCATAGACATTTCCCCTTACTTTTTAGGAGAAAAAATCTGCGTGTTATAGAGGGGAAAATACGGTAATTCCAGGCATTCCTGCAGTACGCATCATCCTCCACTTCAGAAATATGTGTGTTATTATTTACACACCCACTTCACACCCATCTTTGTGTTATCTAATAGTAACTACCTCTTGGCCAAGGTTGCTAGAATGCTAGGTGTATACACCTAATGACTGTTTCCATTGATGTGTGTGTGTGTGTGTGTGTGTGTGTGTGTGTGTGTTTGCTGTTCGATGCTTAGGAAAGAGGTTTCAAGAAACAGAGCTTCTTCTCCAATGAAGCAATAGTCAATGTCTCCAGCGAGCGGTTTTTGCAGGCTTCAGGGCCTGAATCCTATCCACTAAACTCAACCAATGTTATCAGGGGGAAACTCAGTATGTACGTCAGCAAATTGCACTCCAAAAGCAGTATTCACGAGCCTGTTCTTCATGCTTCATTGCAGACTGCCTTAGTGAGCATCCCACTATCAAATATCCTCATATAAAAACACCTTATTTAAAGATGTCCTAATTGAGCTTAGTCAGCTGTGGTCTGTAGCTATTAAACATCTGAGGCAACAAAAATACTGCTTATGGGCTTCTCATTGGCATCTAGTTGGCCACAGTGAAAACAGAATGTTGGGCCAGATGGGCCTTTGGTCTGATCCTGCACCTCTTAGGGTTTTATGGCAGGCAGAGTGAGAAGTCACTTCTATGTTTTTCCCCCAGAGCTAACTTTCCACTTATTCTATGCTCAACATTGCATGTTGAGTGAATGGTGTTGCTGGTATTCTAATGCACGGCTGTTGCCACTCGCTTATATTACTGCTCCTGGCCCATTGTAACATAGTCACAGGATACACCAAGATACTATTTTAACAGGATTACCTGTTCACTCAGAAGCAAGGCCCAACTCTGTTAAAAAAACCTAACTCCCAGGTATAGTAAATGCACATCGAATTTCATATATCTCAAGCCTTTCTCCCACCTGTTATATATGGGTTTGTTTGTTTGTTACCATAGATAGATAGATAGATAGATAGATAGATAGATAGATAGATAGATAGATAGATAGATAGATAGATATTGCTGTACACCACCCTGATATTTTGTGAGATGATGGTATAGAAATATTCTTATAAACAGGTAAACGTAGTTCAAAAAGTAAAAAACAACAACCTAGCTATTTATGACCGTGCTTTAAAAAAACCCAAAAAACATTTCAGTCAGTGATTTGAAAAATGAAATTCATAACATTCAATTAATGTTCATTAAGGCTTTTAATGCATGTGGGATCATAATTTAATTGTCATCCCCTCCGATTTTAATTTCATCACCTATTAGAACACAAAATCTCTTGGCAGCTTTGGAAGCGGTGAGAAAAATTACATAGTTTGTGCTTAATTACGACTCGCCTTTTCTTGTAGAGTTAAAACAGGTTTTAATTAAAAGAACTTAATTAAAGGCACGGAGGGCTGGCAATTTGCCCCTCTCCTAGCTTTTCCCCTGCTGGAGACCTGTCCTTCCAGTGCAAAGGAAGAACTCACCTAGCTTAGTGGCTACAGCAAATCCCACTGAATCTGAAAAAAGGCTGTGCAGAGGAAGTCCTGAGCAGCAGCCAGTCCTCCTGTGCACCACCTTGAGCTCCTGGGAGGAAGGGTGGGGTAAAACTGTGCTTACCTTTTTATAATTAAAACAAGCTATCACCAGATTCTACCTACAGGGCAAATCTGGAGATTTCTCCTCAGATGAAACATCTGAAGAAAACAAAAAATATTTCAGCGCGATTAGTGAAATGTCTCAAGAGGGGTTGACACATCTCTTTTGTCCGCATGCCAACACAGAAATATGCAGCTGCAGAATCAGGTCAACCTTTGGTCTACTGCAGAGAGATCAAGCAAGGAAGCTTGCTCACAACTAAAAATGTTATGTGCAAGAAAGCAAATGTGTAGAGTAAATTCAACTGCACTGTTAAGGTCTAAGTTCCCTGGATAAATATTGTAAACTGGTTGATAAGTCTCAAAGTAGGACCAATTCAGCCAGCTAGCCCTGGAGATTATCTAATTAATTTTTGAATTTTATTGTTATTCATGTTTTTATACTGTATTTTATGCTGCTTTTATAATTAAGTGTTTTAAATTTGTTGTTAGCCGTCCTGAGCCCGGTTTTTGAACCAGGAAGGGCGGGGTATAAATAAAAAAATTTTTATTTTATTATTTAAAAGCCAAAGCACACAACAGACCGTGGATCCACTTACAGTATGAAGGAGAAGACTGCATGAAGAAACCTAAGGACAGAGAGCCTCAGAACAATGCTCGGAAGAGTTGGGGGTTCATGCTTGTAAAATGAGAACCACAAGCTAACACAGAATGATCATGAATTCTTCAAGCCAGGATTTATTGGCCTAGCACCACCCACAGGCTCTTCCCACTGACAGGATTTTGGAAATATATTTGATGTGGTTTTGGAATCCTGTAAGGAAAGGGCTAGTAAATGTTCTTTGCGTTCTGTTCCTGGCAGGCCTCGTCACAGAAGGGGACTCAGCCAGGTGTCTCCCAATTTCAAAGCAAGGAGCACAACTTCTTGTACATACGGTCCGAGGTCATGTTTTCCATCTTTCCAGATGTAGGGCTGCAGGGCAACTTGATTTTGCAGCGACTACGCAAAGAACACGGATCCAAGTAGCTCACAATTGGAGACTGAATCTGGCCATGATAGAGCAGTGGGCCTTGTGTGAAGCAGGGTTGAGTTTAAGCAATTCCAATTAGAGTGATTTATTCCGGGGTACGGAACAAGAAAGGGGGGAACTTGGGTGAGGGATACTGTATCCTCTCCCCTCCCATGCAGTCCCATATCCAAATTCCTTGGGTGAGGGGAAAAGAACCCTCTCCCATTCCATGGAATGCCTCCTTGCAGATTGACACTCAAACTCATTTTCCTTCCCACCACAAGTCTGGATGGGGAGGGAACTTCCTTGGATGGGAAAGAAACATATTACTGGGTCTGCCAAGTAGGTTCCTTCATATGCATGTTTGCAGGATGGTACAGGAAGACAGCACAGTGAAATAGCTCCACCACAGCAGTCCGTAAGTATGCCCAAAGTTATCAGACATCCCCAAACCATATTGGCCTCAGAGGACTATTTTGTAAGATGATCAACAAATAAGCCGAGGAAGGAAAGAGTTCAGCTCTCCTTTCTTTAGAACAGATATGTAATTTTTTTTTGAAAATTATGAATAATAAAAAATGTGTAGCTTTAAATGGAAATGGGGGGGGGGGATTGAAAAATAGGCAATACTTTCTTTGGCATCCTTTACAGAGCTAAGGTCATTTTATTACTTTAGGAACATAAAATGCATTTATCTATAATTCTGTTATAGAATAAAATACAATTTATTCAGACACTGATTGCAAATTTAATTGGCGTTCCTTTTAAATGCTTTAATTTTGGTTACTACTGGAGCTACCCTAGCACCACTTAGTTTTTGCCTGTTTAAGAGAAGCAGGCAAAAGAAGAAGCTGAAAACAGAAGAAACCATCAACATTACAGTAAAAAAATAAAGTTATTGTATATTGCTGCCATCACATCTTATTTGGCCAAGGGGACAAAAATGAAGGTACAGTTTAAAGGAGCATTTAAAAAAAAATCACAAATTCCTTCCTTCCTTCCTTCCTTCCTTCCTCTGATCTTCCTGCGAATTGCTCAAGATTGCACATGGTTACCTTTTATCCTCACAACAACACTGAGAGGCAGGTTAGGTGAGAATGGGTGATCAGCCAGTGGCAAGATTTGAGCCCTGGCTGTTGGGACAATCCTGTGTTTGGGCTCCCCTTCGTTGGTGGATGAGCCTGGCTATTCAAAAGGGGAACTGCCCTCGGAGCAGATCCCAGAAACTCCTTAACTACTGGAAATGCTTTTGCCAGAAGGACTTCCGGGTTAGCGCCATCAGTGAATGGCAGAGTTCCTCCGACCGGAGGAACCGGCTCCGTGGAAACTGGGTCTTCCCATCGCGGCGAAGGTGGGGACCCGCTAGAAATCCCAGGCGGAGGAATCCTGGGAACGTGGGGTTCAGCAGGGCACCAGGAGCGCCCCCCTACTCACGGGGAATCCCTTTTTGGGATTCCGGAGTGAAGTGGGGTGAGCGGCGCGGTGCTACGAACTGACTGCTACTTTCACGGAGTGAAGCCGCACAGCCATCGCCAGAGAGCGCTGACTTTTTCCTGTGGACAATTGGATTTAAAATAAGTACCCGTGAGTAGAAACGGACAATTGGATCAAGAAATTTCTTAATTTGACATCGAAGCGGGAAGGTTCAAAACAGGAAATCCGCCTTCCGCTTTTTGTATATAGACTGAAGCAAAAACCTTGTAAGCTAAAGCCTGGAAAGCCGTTTAAAAAGTCTAAATTTCCTTCATTTATAACTACTGAAACCCCCTTGGAAGCAGGGGGAAAGGGGGGGGGACTTTGTGTAACACCTGCAGGAGAGGGAGTGAAGAAAGATAAGTTTCCACCGTCTCTAACCTGGGAACGGGGTGTCAGAGACAGAAATTGTTGGAGAGGTTCATTGACTGTGAATGGAATACTTTGACAGATAGCTAAAGAAGAGAAATAAACTGATTCCAATGTTGCCTTTTGCATTCTAAAGAAACAAAATATCTGAAAAATGAAAGTAATTTTCCTTTGTTGGACTTGCTTTAAAAAGATGGATACAAATAGAAATTGTCTCCTCTAGAGGGAGCTTGCTAAATTGTTGCTGCAGTCTACTTGAGGAATCCACAGCTGTGAGATTAAGATCGTGGGATTAGTCCTTCTGACCTTGACTAAATATGAGCTGGAAGGAAGTTTGGGTGCTTGCTTTATGCAAGACAAATGCTTTGTTGGAACAGATGCACGAGAAGATGGATTTGATGAATGAGAAAATGGATTTGATGACTGTTGTGGCCAATAACTGTGGACAAATAGTGAATAGTGATATAGAAACTATCCAGGGCCCAACTCAGGAACCTGTATTGATTGGGCAAGTGCAGAAGATAACGGAGGAAGCTGCGGCTACACCTCAAATAATACAAATGGAGAGGCCCAAGGCCCTACAGAAGCATAAGCCGCTGTTTTTGAAAATTGAAGTTGGAGTGGGCCAGGGGGAGTTTGGAGCTGTGGAGGCTCTTAACTTTGGAGAGACTTCGAAATATGCTTGTAAACACTTTTTGGATTATATTGATGACTGTGGGGAGTGGGACTGTGGGGAATGGGCTGGTTTGATGAAGGGAGACGGAGATAACTTTGGGTTGGAACCCCCCAGAGACCTACACCTCAATGAGAAAGGAAAGAAATTAAAAAAGAGACCAACAAAAGACAAGGAAAAGTCCAAGTATAAACAAGAAGAAGAAGATCTGCAGAAGGGACATGGAAGAGATTTAAGGGCCTCGGACATAAGACTTCCAGGTTGATGGACTAGATGGAATGGACAGTAAGGACTGACATGACCCGAGACCAGGAAGAAGAGACGTTGGATGAAGATTGGAAGAAAATTTATAAAGAATTTTTTTTTATTTAGGGAATTAGTCTAAAATTAATGAATATTAGGGAAAATGTTGGATTGAAACTATAAGACTCTAGTAGAAATTGATATCAGGAGTTATGTATAATTGAGTATTAAGTTTCAAGCTTTAAGGTATTTTATGGTAAGATAAGGTTAAATAAATTAAGGTAATTTGAATAACAGAATATGGGGGGAAAATGGAAAGGATTTTTTGAGTTAATTTATAGGTTAAATTGTTAAGATAATTTAATAAAAATTGAGAAAGATGGAAAGAATTTGCTGAAATAACTAACCAAACTAGAATACAAAAAGGGAGGAGTGAGGAGGTCAATGAAACAAGCAAATGGAAGTTAAAGTTATGTAATATGGGATTTGTGGGGGTTTTTTGTTTTTTCTTTTTTTTATCTTTTTGTTGCATTGTTGTATT